GCCGCAAACTTCTTTACCCCGGCCTCGCAAAGGAAGCCCGAGCCGATCACATGGCGCGTCATCGGCACCAGTGTTATCATTGGGAAGCAGATCACGGGCAAGGCAGTCCCTCCCACCGAGAAACTGCGCCGAATCGCTGGCTTTGATTTGGTCAGTGGTTGAAACCGACCGCTAGAATAAGTAGCGTCGAAAGAAAAGGGCCCTGCTGACGTCAATATACAGGATTCAACCTTGATCAAAACAAAATCGGGAAATGTCTTCCCCAAGTCTGCCACTGATTGGCAATGGTGGAATACCAAAGTTCCAGGCCGACTGAAGGAGCTCAATGCTGAAGGGTATGTCCAGACTCGGTATATAAGATTAGTTGGGTACACCCGGGCTTACACTTTAACAGCTTCCAAGTTGTGATTTTCTCCAACCAAAAGAAGATCAGTGTCCAGAAGGATATCAAGGGTGGACGGAGTGATTCAAAAAGTCTGTCGAACTTCAAAGAAAAAATGACCGCCGTCATGGCGGAACTGGATTTTCCCGTCAGCGTTTACGCGGCCACCACAGACCCTGAATATAGGAAACCCCGTATCGGGATGTGGCGCGAGTTCCTAGACGACTATGACCTCGACGTTGCGGGTGTTGACTTGTCCGCGTCGGTTTTCGTCGGTGATGCGGCTGGAAGGCCAGGCGATCATTCAGCTGTGGATCGGTAAGACTATCACAACTATTAACATGTGACAAAGTCTGATATCGACTCTAGGGGACTTGCTACCAACATCGGTATGCCATTCAAAACCCCAGAGGAGTTTTTCCTCGGGCAGATCACAGAGCCGGCGGCGATGGGCTTTGACCCGACGTCTTTCGTAAAGTCGGATCTCGAAGAGCCAGGTATGTGCTTATTGCTTCCAATGAACTTGCTATCCCCTCCTCGCAAGAAACCCAATCTGGAAGATTGTTGACCAATTCATCGCAGCCAAACCCTTTACTCGCAAGCACCCACTTGAACTTGTTATCTTCTGTGGCAGCCCAGGTGCTGGGAAGTCCACTTTCTACTGGAACCACCTGGAGCCTCTAGGCTATGAACGAGTCAACCAAGATCTTCTCAAGACGGTAGGTGTGATAAACACAAAATGAAACTGAAATCGAATACTGATGAACAATAGCGTCCGAAATGCCTTAAGGTCGCCCGCGAGCACTTGGAAGCCAAGAAGTCCGTGGCAGTCGGTACGTCGTTGTATCTATTTCTAGCAGCTTCGGTTTTCAAGCGATCTAACCCGGCTACCACCTAGATAACACCAACGCCGACCCAGAAACACGAGCTCACTGGACATCTCTCGCGAAAGAGCTCAAGATTCCTATCCGTTGCGTACAGTTCATCTCGACACCAGATCTATGCCGACACAACAACGCCGTCCGAGCATCCAACAAAGAACTGGTATGTATTGGCAATATCCCCATCTCCATCTCAATCTCATCCTCATTCTTACATTCTCATCCCAACCAGAACCCCGAATCCCGAACCTCCCTTCCCGGCATCGCCTTCGGCGACTTCGGTCGCCGCTTCCGTGCTCCAACGCTGGACGAGGGCTTTGATGATATCATCCCCGTCGAGTTCCAGTTCCACGGCAGCGAAGAGGCCAAGGAGATTTGGGGCCAGTACTGGGTTTGAAAGTACCAGGGACCAGGACTAGTATATACGCCCTACCACTTGCCTACTCCTGCTACTCACATCCCTTGGCTTATGCTTACGTCTGTCTGCGTCGTGCTCATCATAATCTTGATATCTCATTATCTACATGCTTTTAAGCCGAACCACGGCTCGTGTCTACAGACTTACTACCTGTTGGCGGGGTTTCAGCTGACCTCAAAAACACGAATGTTGATCTCGGCTGCATCAATGCATGTCTCGGTTCTGTGATAATCTTAGATCAAGGCCTTCTCAGCTCTGTCGTGGATGCTGAGGGAGGGATGTGGGGTTGCGATTTGGGATTGTATTGAATGTGTTATAGTAAGGACCATTATCGTGCTTCCCCGGCTTATGTCCATCCAAGACATTGTCTACATTCCCCCGATATTCGTACCTACATGTAGATACGTTGGTAACTAGTTAGTTAACGTTGTGTTGTAGCCTTGTTAGTAAGCGACTAAATATCACACAACCCTAAGTACACTCTACACTCCATCGCTGTCTGACACTCCACTCTACTGTTCCCAACAGACGCAATTTAAATCCGAAAGTCTCTGACTCACAATATCAAAAACCAAAGATTAAAACCGAACCCCTTTTGCCAAGACAAGACACAGACAGGTACAGGTACAGGCACCAGCACTCGCACTCAGCTCCCATCCATTGGCAATCCCAATCCGAACATGTCTCGAGTGGATCATAGTATCATAGTTACAAGACTTGTTATCATGTACTCCGTACCAAAAGCCCACTCCAGTCGTTCATGTATCTTACGTTGTGAAATCGAAGTTGCAAATAGCGGTAGCTTCACAACGTGGCCGACCCACAGTACCAGGTCACTTCCTCTCCACTGTGTTATTGTACATGTGACTCATTCTACACGCGCTTCCCGCTGTGTTCTGTGAATAGGAAATAGGAAATAGTGAATTGCGAATAAATAGTAGGTAGTTCACTGTCGATAATGTCTCTCCCACGTGCGGGGATTCTATTATGCACTGTGTCATCCCTTCCATGACATGACATATACATGCGTGTTTCATAGGATTATGTCCATATTTTAGAATTTAGATGTAGATGTAGATGTAGATGTAGATGTAGATGTTGTAATTAGAGACATTTGCATATGATGATCATATGTGGATTGTGTATGAGCTGAATATATACATATAGGAACATTGTATTGTACTTTTTTTCAGATGCTTTTTTTGCTTCTTGTCCTGTTCTGCTCGTGGAGCAGAGGGATGTGGATGGGATAGGGTTGAAGTCTATGGGGGTACAACGGCTGGTAGGCTTGGTGTATGGGGGGTATAGTATATAATAGAGACAGAACAAAAGAAGTCCAAAGGAGAGTGATAGACCCAGTTAGTTTGGAGGTTAACTTTTCGTTTTCTTTTTCTTGTCGGTTGTTCAAGGGATTGCGGTGTCTTTGGAAAAGCAAGACATCCAGGACGAAGAATTGAGAAGAAAAGATAACCCCCCTGGGAAAGACAAGACTCAAGGATATAGACAAAGGAATGGCATGATTCGGGGCGAGAACAGTAGTCGCCGATCCGGATCGTAGGTCATGAGTCATTATAAACAAAAGATCAAAAAAAAAAAAAAAAGATTCAAAGAGAGACATTAGTCGTAACAGTGCGGGCGAGATTGAACGAGTAATCAAAAGGCGCGCGGGGAATAATCTATCGTCATTATCGTTGTGGATCGCTTGCAAATGTGGAAAAAAGAAAAGAGGAAAAAAGAGAAGAGCCCAACGAAAGGCCATCAGGTCTCAAGGTCGGGAGACCAAATCCTGGAAAAAGCGGAAGAAATTCCTCTTCTTCTCAGAACGGCAGGGACCTGCAATCTCCGTAGCTGGTGCCACGGTCATTGGGCCGACAATATCCTCATCCCCCATTTCGGGGAACTTGTCGTTGTCATGTAGACCTGGGATGCGGACTTGTTGGCAAGGGTGGATATTAGACTGGGTGAGGGTAAGAGCAACACCATCTATAGCGCTGAGCTGGTCAAGCATGGCCTCGTGCTGCGTTGCCCACTCGCGGTTGACCGACTCCCATTTCTCGATGGTAAGCTTGTAGATGTTCGAGGTGACGCCGTAGTGTTCACCAGTACGAACGAGGTGCTTGGCAAAGTTGCAACGCGCAATATCCCAGTCTGCACGCATCTGCTGGAAATTGCCGAGGTCGCAAACCACAGGGTCGTAAGGCTCGGGCGTGATGGTGAAGTTGGCGTGGCCGAGTTTGTTGGCCCACTCGTCGTTGGGATCGGAGATAACGAGGGGTGTTACGTCGCCTGAGACTGTGCGCACGGTGCTGGCTCGCGGTCGGCTGAAAGAGGCCACAGAAGGCTTGGACGAGAGTGGTGGCGAAGGAAGAACTCCCATAAACCGCGGGTCTAAAGTCACATTATAGTTATAGAGTGGTTCGCTCGCGTCTGCGACTGACGGAGACTGCAAGGGTGACTGGACGCGGGACGCTGCGACACTTGTTGGGTCGTCTCCCATAAACGGTGGAAGGAGAGGGGTTGTCGCTTTCTGCACATCGTTGTCGTCTTGGCTGAGACTGTTCGCTCGGGTGATATCGATTGGGCGCGCGCCGGACTCGCTCGCGCGTTCTTCGAAGATCGTTCGCGCGGGAGAAGGGGGGATAGAGTCGACCCGGCTCATGGGCATGGAACCGACGACGGGGCTTGCCAAGGCGGAGGAGGCCGCCGAATTCGCGCGTGATCGTAGATCATCCGGGAAAATATCGCCTTCTGCACCACTGGATGATCGCTTAGTCTTCCACCGGGATGACATGGTCGAGATGTGCGAGTTAATGCGCGAGACTCCATTTAATGAGACACTGTCTGAGCGTCTCTTTTTCGGTGATGGGGCAGTCTCCATGCCAGTCACGCTTAAATCGTAGCTATCTGAGTTATCGACGGGAGCAAAGTACGACTCTTCTGCAGACATGGCGTGATCAAAGTGCTCTATAGAAACGTCTATGGTTAGCAACCGCAGCATGACGGGGGAGTTGTTGCGGTGGCGATTGACACATACGGAAATAATGATCTTCCAACGAGTCGCGTGTGGATTCCTCTTCCTTGACTCCGGTCAAATGACTCCGACTGGGACTGTCCATTGAATTCCCCAGGCCTGATGAAGAGACAAGGGAAGAGACGGAGCTGGAGACCCGGTTGTGGCCTGCGGAGAACAAAGAGATGGCAGGTGAGGCCGGCGCGGAGGTATTAATAGTCAATGGGGAGTGCGGCTGGCGTGTAGGTGAATCGGCCGCGTCGAGACTTTCTCGTGTCGCGTCGATTATTTGAGACAGTTTGTACATTCTCACAAGGTGAGCGCCGCTGGTGGACGGGGTGGCTGGTATATAGGGGATGGTTGCAGTTCAGCATTGGAGGTGAGGGGTGACCACAAGATATAAAGAGACAACGCTTTCAAGTCATTCCCTAATGGCCTTTGGGTGGGAAAAGACGTGGCGGTGTGATAAGAGAGAAAGAGTTATAGTCCGGGAAACGCGGGAACTGAGGTCTAGGGCCAGTTAGCATCCGATGAGGATTGGAAATGCAAATATGATTATCGTCCAGGTAAGAAACTGTAGGAAATCCCAAAAATACACGGGAAATTCAGAAAGAAATTCAGAAATACAAAAAAAAAAAATGAAAACAAAAATGAATTCCACCGAGCGACGTGGACCAAACAAGTTGACGAGACCAACTGGCTGGGTAGAAAGAGAGGGTTTCGGTGCTTTTGCTTACAATCGGCAAACGGACTGGACGAACAGGGAGATCCTGGGTCGTACAGATTCTCTACCTTGGCCCTTTTGATAGATGAGAGAGAGTAGATGAAGGTGATAGAGAGAGAGAACAAGAGAGAAATGGGCGAAATGATAGAAAAATGATAGAGAACTGAAGAGACTACTCTCTGTATAACATACAACGACTCTAGACCTTCCAAACAACCGTTAGTGGAGAAATTCCATGAGATTCCCAAGAAGAAAAAAAAGAAGGTGACTAAACCTCTCTGGAACCTAAACCAAGGTTGGAACTCGCCGATCTCATATTTCCACGGTTTGCTCCGTTGAGTTCCGGTGGTTGACACTGCTTGAACCATGGGTACTAAAGAGTCTGGAAGGCCTTTTTTTTCTTCTATTTATCCTTTTTTTCTATCCTTTTTTAACTTGGCTTTTATCCATATTAACCACTTTGTATAACTATAGTTACCTACCTAGGTAGAATAAATAGAATATATATCTAATTCGATTGTTCTAAACCACCCCCAACGGCTACACAGATATGTTGTGTAGCCCAATGTTCTACATCGATTACCCCCCCAGAATTCTTTTCTCAATTGGGTACAAAATCCGGTTGTGTGTGCGATCGGCAAACAATCTAGACTGGAGTGGATTCAAGAGGGGAACCATTATGATGCCATTGCGACCCAGTCGATCGGTCCTGATTCGCTCTATAGATTGGGAGTGAAAGGTGTTGGATACATCTTGCTTATTATCTTTATTTATCCAGCTATGGTCTGTTTACTCCCGTAGTCGGTTATCGTTTGGCCCAGAATAATCACTGGGTATAACCCATCCCCCATTCTACACACGGACTGGTGCATCCACCCCCGTTTGTATTAGAGCTCCGACAACGTTGAGCAACCGCGGACAAGGTCCCGTCCCGTACAGGTCAGAACTTTGTCCGAGTATGACGAGTAGGGTAGCACAATGGAGGGTTATCGGTTCGAAATTATGTAGGGCACAGAGTGCTACCTACAACATAGGTATGTATAACTATTGGTATTGGTGTCCTACAAGAACTTGTGCGAACTCCGAACTAAACCTGGACCACAGACAATGAGAGCACTACTTACTTGCAACAGTAGCAAGTGGTACTAGGAGAGACGGGAGGAGATAACTGCCAACCAATCATAAAAACCGTCGGAATGAATAGGTACCGGGTTCTATACCGGAGAGGGGAAATAGAAACCTTCCAAGGGTTAGGGTTGGGAAGAAGCCAAATTCATTCACCTTTGGCACCAGACGTCAGGTCCACATGGTCCTAACCAACGTTCTCTCGGGGAATTCGGGATTCGGGGAACATTCCATTTTTCTATGATTGGAGAGACGAAGGGGAAGGAGGGGGTGAATTAAAGAGCCATGGTGTTTGGCGCCACTGCCTCTGCCCGCCGGGTGTGCCCCTTGGGGGCTTGAGGCGAGCCTTGGCACATAGTAACCGGGATGAATTCTCGGGTTTGTCAATTGTCCACGGAACATGCTGGACAAGTCAATTTTTATTCCTCAGGTGACTTCTAGATACTTGTGATATATCAGATTCTTTGTCTTTTTTTTTTCTTTTTTTTCCCCTGGAGATCTCTCCGATCCCATCTCTCGCTAGGCATCCCTGCAGGTCACTAGGACAGAACAGATCACACTGCAGCCCAAAATGGCATAGGCTGAGTCTTCTATCTTGGGTGGCCAATCACAGCCACTCGGCAAAAAGCAAAAAAAAAAAGCAAAAAAAAAAGACAAAGAAAAAGACAAAGAAAAAGAAAAAACCTAATCGTGCGGATTTCTGAGGTAATCACCCAATTAAGTCCTGGAGAACCATGGAAGGCCCTCCGATCACGGGCAGGTTTCAAAGCAAATAGTTAGCAATATATAACTACCACACAAAGTCTTGGACATCAAGGTATATTCTTGGAGGCAATATATAATTCAAATCAAAGTTGCCATTGCTGCAGCCAATTTTGCATCAGCGAGGAAGAGACCGGGCCTAGGGCTCTCATGCTGACACTTGCCTCCTTCGCCCGTCGGACATCCAGCGCCACAGACAGGGCACTGCCCTCGTCTTGTAGCCCGCGGTAGAACCCCAACAGCTTGAGCGCGGGCTTTGAGGCAAGATCCGCACTGCTTGGGTTGGTTATACTTTCCAGCTCGGCAATCCATGCGGAAAATGTAACTGGCTCGACCGCATACTGACTCTGAATTGCCGGTATCAACGACGACCATGGTGCTCGTTCTGGGTTCGTGAGATGAAACACGGCCCACCATGCGTCGGATAAGCTCCTATGGCGTGTGTTGACAATTTCCACTATAATATTCGATAGAGTGTCCTAAATAAAGCAAGTAAGAAAGTGCGATCAGCGGTAGGTCTTGGCCTTTTTTTTTCTCTCTCTCTTTCGGCTACCCGGGTCTGGGAGCTGGTCGAAATATAGTGCTCGTGATGGGGGGCTTACCACTGGCACCCAATCGACCGCGGTCGAGCCCAGTCGGTTGGGGATTTTACCCATCGCTTTCGATGTCGCGATAATCGTCGGTAGCCACTCTTGCGGATTCCATTGCCCGCGCGTGGTGGTCGGTCCGGCGATCTGTCCGACGCGATAAACCGATGTAGGAACATGAGATCTTTGCGAGGCTTCGAGACAGATCCGCTCGGCAATGTACTTGGATTCCCCGTAGCCTTGAGGGAGAACTACGGCTATCCCCTCCATCGGTACTTCCGGGATCGAAGCTCCCATTTCTGGGGTCCAAGCGCCTACCGTTCCGACTGAGGAGATGAAGTGGAGATGAGCGTTGCTGCGGCTGCTCAAGCTAAAGTCTATGAAGCGTCGCACACCCTGGATGTGGGTGTCCTCAAAGGAATCGACGGAATGGTTGAAGTCGACTTTCCAGGCGTTGTGGATGATGGTGTCAACTGAGTCGAGAAGTTCTTCGTACTTGGACTCGTTTAGCCCGAATCGTGGTTCTCCAAACGAGGCTTGAAGGAACTCGACCTTGTCTTTCCAGTCGTTTGCGTCAAGGTGCAGCTCTTTCTCTTCGAAGCTTTTCTTCTGTCGAGATTCTGCATCTGAACGATTAAGGCAGTAGACCTTGGTGATGGAATTGCTGCTTAGCAGAGAATGCAGTAGATAAGTTCCCAGTGAGCCAGTTGAACCAGTCAGTATGACAGTCGAAGGCGAACACAATCCATTCTGAGGGTAGACTTCCCGCGCTGGAAGATCAGATGTATACCTGTCGACCAAACTCTGGATCTTCTCTGCTCGCGGGATACCAGCTTGGGTTTTTCCATCTAAGATGGCCATTACAACTCGAGACAATCGGTCGATGGTGGGATTGCGATAAATCGTCTGGGTGTTGATGGCTCCTGCTTTCACATCCGGCCGACATAACTGGAGGCCCTTTTGCAGCACCCGAGAGACTTGAATGGTCATTAGAGAATCAAGACCAGCAGAGTAAAAGTCCTGAGAGTTTGCGATCTTGGGGTTTTCCAGAACACGGGTAATAATCTGGCGAGTATACTCTGTGACACTCTCGTAGTCCAGCTTCTCTGGTAGACACTGGTCCAAGTCATCCTCGAGATCTTCGGCATACATCGCATCAATCTCTTTCTCGTAGTCTCGAAGCACAGCCCGGCGCTGCACGCTGCCTTTAGGGGTTAACTTAAATGGCTTCGTCTTCACTGCAAACCAGATCTTGTTCTTCATCACCCGACCATGAGCCGCAATGGTCTGGTTAGCCACTTGCACTGTCGGCCAGACCTCTTCAATAAAAATCTTTGCATCCATATCTGGTCCTCCATGACTCGGTTCGATGAGAAGCCCAGCCTGGAACCGGGACTGGCCGACTACCACTGCCCTCCCAACCAGCGGGTGTCCTTCAATGATAGTCTCCATCCCGACAGGAGTGAACTTCTCGCCGTTGCTTAGGACAATCACATCATCCTTGCGTCCTTGGAACTTCCACAGACGTGGGTTCGTCGGGTGTTGGGTATAGAGATCGTTGGTTGGATACATATTGATGTCGGGGTATGTGTGGAAAATTCCCTTGAAGTCGCGCGCATTCTCATGTCGAGGAATCACCATCTCGAATACACCATCGCCGACATCTTGCATGTCGACTCCGTAGGCTTCGCTCCATTCCAAGTAACCCCAGTTGACTGGGTCTTCTGGCACCAACCCTGGGATCACACCAGCCTCGCTGCTTCCAAATATCGATATGAGCTGGGTATACTTGCGCAATCGCTCTCCGGTCTCTAGTGGCAAAGGTGCGCCGCCGAAATAGACTGACTTGAGTTCTTTCAAACAAGCTAGTGCTTTATCGGAGTGGCTCATGTCTTCCAGGATTGAGGGTGGAAAGACTGCGGCTGTGGGGTGAGCAGTGCGCATCAGCTCTGTCATATGGTCGACGGAGAGTGGCTTATCTGGGCCGATGAGGGTGGGAACTTCGAACCACACCGAGAACAAGAATGATACCAGTCCCATTAGATGGAAGAAAGGTGTCGTAGCCAGCACTAGCTCGGTTTGATCTAGATCATGGAACATAGATGGCTGACGACCTGCCGGCCTTGCAAGATGAGAAAGAGAATCGATGGTCATGAAGAAGCCGTTGGTAAGATACACCGGCTTTGGCATGCCTGTAGCGGAAATTAGTGCGGGTTCGTAGTACCATGTTCATGGAATTTACCTGTCGTTCCAGAGCTATGGATGATGCATGGTGTGTCATTCTCTGCATCGACATAAGATTTGGTGTATGAATAGTGGCGCAGGCCACTCTCATCACTGAGAATTTTCTTCATAGTCGGGATCTGGAATATATCCAATGTCGGGACAAGTCCCTGGATCTCTAGGGTTCGTGTCTGGCGCTCCTCGCTAAAGAAGAACTTGGTGCAATTTGTCGTTTTCAGTAGATGAACATGGGCTTCGTCCGAGTTCCTAGAGGAAGGCAAGAATGCCTATAAAAATCAATCGACTGTTCTCTATTCAGCTTGAATTGCTTTATTTTCTTACCTGGTATCCAGTTTTCTGGCATGCAAGCATAAATATGAAATAGCGCACATCATTGTTCCCCATATAGGCCACCGTCTGTGGGAATTGTGCCGGTCCAATGATGATTTCAATCCACCAACACATGAAGTTCACGGCTCGTGCAAGGTCTTTGATGGAGATGCCTTGGAATCCACTGCTTATTTCCGATCCCTGTGGAATAATTGCAAATCGTTGGCTGGGATTGGTTTCAGCACGGTCATCTACCGTTCTCGCGAGCAACCTTTTCTGATGAGACTCCATGCTCTTCGTTGAACCAAATGATTTCGGTGTCAAATTAAACTGATGTAGTGATAATGCTGTGGGATATTTAATAGAACAATGCAATGTGCTAGGAACCATCCATTTCAAGGGGGTATAGAGTCCATATTTATATCAAATATAGTTTTAAGAAACGACCTAATATCCAGCCCAAATGATCTGTGTTCAGGGTATCATAGTGGCAAATCACTATTCATTATTCTCATTATGTACGATACATACTGTACAATATAATATTGCAAAATATATGTACCTCATACATTGTTGGGGTAAATTGTATGAACGTGTAGATCCTTGCTTATATGGGCACTAATTCCACTAATTCCACCCCACTTAGAGCGTATCCCCCGTGCCGAGCATTACTATGCTTCATTTCGGCTTCATAACAACCGAGTCCTTCCATATTCCCGGGATATTAGTGCCGGGTTACGTTGGTAGCCCTGGAGGAAGTGTCTGTGTCTCAATATAGGTGGGCCCGGCATAGGAAAATGGGTTACACTAATAGTCTTACCAAAAGATTCACCTGTTGCCATCTGTAGGTCAATACTACTATACCGAAATCTTTTGTTGCGTGAATTCATGTGGGATATAAATTGGGAACTTGACATGATGCATCAATGTTGACCGACTGGTCATAGGTACATACAATCATTACAATCATCCCAGCTTTGCCAGGTGCTATACGATATGTCTCTGGAATGATGCTACTTGATACTTACTGCAAAGCTTTGCTATAGATAGACACCTCTTATTTTGATTTTGGGATTAGCATTTATGTATTAAATATACAATCTCAATAGAATCGAGATATCTGCACTTCTTCTGTGGTAAATGAAATACCCAACATCACTCTTGCCTGCTTCCAGAGATATATCGCGTGCCGACATTCAGATATCCATGCTTGTAATTCCTTATGTGACGCTCCTGAGCCGAATGCCGACATGTACCTTTTCATATCTGGACGACAAATATCTAAAACAAAACACCTGATATGAATTAAACGGAGAAATTCAACACAATCACGCAATAAACAAGCACCACACACCTAATATGTATCCAATAGGCTTCAAGCCATTCTATATCTAGTCCTATCGGAATATATCCATCCACGTGACCATATACATCGGGTATTCCCGATTTCGGACCCGACCTACTGCAAGCTTCCCTCAACTTACTGGCTTAGTCGGGGTTATACAATTGTTTAGAATACAAAAATTGATAACCATAACAACATATTCATAACCCAACCTTTCGATGAAGTTCTCTTCATATCTTGCGGCTGCGGCCATCATGTCCGGTGTTCAGGCTTCTCCGCACCCCGCACCCCAGCAGCAACAGCTCCTAGGCGTGTCATCATCGCTCTCCCAGCCCAGCTATAGCCAAGGAGACTTAGATGATATAATCAGCACTTCACCTCTGCTATCACTCCACCGAGACCTGGTCAAGATCGAGTCAATCTCCGGCAACGAGCACGAGGTCGGCCTCTTCGTCGCGCAATTCCTCGAGGCCCGGAACTTCACCGTGGTAAAGCAAGAGGTGCCCCCAGTGAAGGGCCAGGAGGACACCAAGACCCGTTACAACATCTATGCCATTCCAAAGTCCTACACACAACCCCCTTCAATCCTCCTCACAAGCCACATCGACACCGTCCCCCCTTCATCCCATACTCGGTGCACCAGCCCGATGACTCCACAACCACCTTCGACCCAGAGGATCTTATCCTAGCAGGCCGTGCCTCCGTCGACGCAAAGGGCAGCGTCGCAGCGCAAATATTCGCAACCCTCGAAACACTAGACTCCCAACCCGACGCCAAACTCGGCCTTCTCTTCGTCGTCGGCGAAGAAATCGGCGGCGACGGCATGAAAATCTTCTCAGACTCAACCCTCAACTCTAAAAACGCATTCAAAACCGTCATCTTCGGCGAGCCAACCGAGGCAGCGCTCGTCGCTGGCCACAAGGGCATGGTCGCCTTCAAGGTTCTTGCTCATGGTAGCGCCGCTCACTCGGGATACCCGTGGCTGGGCAAGAGCGCCGTTTCGGCGATTCTGCCTGCGCTCTCGCGCATCGATGTGCTCGGTGATATCCCCGTCGAAGAGGGCGGTCTGCCTGCATCCCCGAAGTACGGACCGACGACGCTGAATATTGGCGTTATCCGCGCTGGCGTCGCGACGAATGTGGTTCCTTCTGAGGCGTGGGCTGATGTTGCTGTGAGACTTGCAGCTGGTACGCCTGCTGAGGCACGTGAGATTGTTCTGCGGGCTGTTGAGGATGCGGTTCGCGATGCTGAGGCGGAGGTTGTTGTGGACTTTGTTTCGCATGGCGAGTCTTATCCGCCGCAGGATTTGGATGTTGATGTTGATGGGTTTAATGTTACTACTGTTAACTATGGCACTGATGTACCGAATCTGGCTGTCGGTCCTGGTGTCAAGCGCTACTTGTATGGACCTGGCAGTATCTTTGTTGCTCATGGTGATAATGAGGCCTTGACCATCCGCCAGATCAAGGAGGCCGTGGTTGGTTATAAGAAGTTGATTGAGGCTGCGCTGGTGAGAGAGGAGAATAGCGAGGTGGTCGTATAATCGGTTGTTGCATATTATCTTGATAGGGTGTGTTATCTGGTGCTGTGTGTATATAATATCGGCTACTAGGTCTCGCCTTTGGGTTACAAATAATAGAAGTGGCTTGATCTTACATATGTAACGCTATCTCTATATGTCACTGAATAAGGAGTATTGCTTACTGAAAGGTAAAATTGGGCATGTAAGGTTGGTATACCAAATCTATGTAGAAAAAAAACACGGAAAAAAGGCGCTATAGAGAAAACATCAGACATCAAAACCATAATCAACCGAGGCATTATCCAGCAAATCTACTGCCTAGGTGCCCTCTCCCATCCCGTCTTAAGATCTCCGCTAGGCTTAAACCGCGGGAATGGATGCGCCTCAGTATTGAAAACGTGATCCTCCAGTGAGATGAAATCACGATCCGAGAACAACAAGTAGAAATACTTGAGCGTCTCAGCCATCCAATAGCTTTCCATGTTATCGCGCTTGTACGAAGGGACTGCATCCGCGTTTCCGAGCGACGTAAAGCCCTTGATACGGAAGACGGGTGCTGTGCTGGTTGATGTGGGGATACGAGATGTACTCTTCTTCTCGACCACGGCGGTGTGTTTGATGAAAGACTTGAAGATCTCCCAGCCCCACTGGCGGTAGATGTCGTCGCCGGTGATACGGTACAGATACAAGAGGGACTCGACTGTTTCCGGGCGTTGTAGGTTGTGGCGGTTGTTGCGGTGGACGTCAATGTCCGCGCGCCAGGGCTCGGACGCATCACTTTGCGCCTCTATAGGTTTGGAAATGCTGTGTAGTGCCTTGGGTTTGGATGCGCGGTTGGGGTCCGTCGCTGGATCTGGGTACTTGTCTGCCATCATCACGGGTGGCGAGTCTAGGACGAAGTGGGAGATCTCGGCTGCGAGGCCGGTTGCCGTTGCCTGGTGCATTGCCCAGCAGGTCTTCATTAATTCTCTGGACATAAGAATCTCTTCCTCACGCTGTTGAGTCCAGTCTGCCGACTTTCGGGCTTGGGCCAAGGGCTGGCCACCGGTCGCGCCGAGCGCGATTGTTCCGGGCATGAAGCAGACTAGGTGGTCCATTCTAGGTGACAGGTCCTGGTCTAGACCCTGGGGCCGCTCGCCGATAACCATCAGTTGAGAGTTCTTGGTAAATGAGACTAGGTGCTTGCGGATGCCTCTCAGTGCCTCGTCCCACATCTCTTTGTAGACAGGCTCCTGTTCTGAGGTCTGCAGGTATTGCTTGATGAGATATTCTGGAGCGAGTCAGCCTAAAAGATCCACAGAGCACCGAGTATTCGACATACCATAGTAAGAATCCGCCTTATTGCCCAGACTAATGCTGTCTCCTTTGAATGCACCACTGTCAGGGTGGATGGCGGTTCGGACAAGGCCATCCTGTGGCTTTTGTAGGTCGACCAGCTTCATCGTTCTTTCAACCAACTTCCAATATTCCGCTTCGCCGGTGAGCTTGGCCAAGTACTTGAATTCAAGCTGTATCGAGCCAGCCTCAGAAATAGACGTAGCTCCCTCGTCGAAATGCACGACAACACCTTCTGACGTGTTGAGATTGACATTCGACCATGGGATACCGCTTGGGGACTCGAATGCCCCAAGTAGCCGCTCAGCGAGGTCAGCTGCTTTCTCGATGTACAGGTCTTCACCAGCAGCACCAACATCATCGTCGTTGAGGGGTGCCAAATCGGGGTATTGAGTTGACAGATAGTGTGCAGACAGCAAACCACCCAGCATGCGGATAGTCGTTTCGAACGTATTAACATCACGGTCCTGATCATAATGCAACGATGTTGAGATCCATTGCCGCGCGCGGTGGACCTTGGAAGTCAGATTCATGATCATCAGTGTGTCCAGCGAGTCGACTATCATCCAGCCTAATCCGCCGCTCGTGTCTTCCTGGTTAACGTTCGATACTGGGCGATACTGATCGTATCCTGAATAATGGTGTCAGCACTGTCATATAGTACACAAGGATTCTGTATGACATACCCCATGCGTTCGTCTCGTATCCCTCCCAACTGACGATGAAGGCGTCCCGCACTTTCTCTCGTCTGGCAGTCCAGTCAGACAAGTCCCCGGAGGTTTTCCCCTCTTCCAATGTCTGAGCCCATTTCCATAATTCTACCCCCTTATCATTTGACTGTAACCCCGACCAGGTGCGGAGGTAGAAGTTATAATACAACACAAATAATACTGTACACACTCCCAGCACGTTCAGAAACGGCCTCCATCTCCTTCGAGGGCCTGTGCGCCGAGGTTGAAAGAATGGCTTATCTTTGTATAAAGGTAGTGTCCGGTCCCTCTCGAAGTAGCCATTCACTTTATTGGATAGGGGGATGGGCTGGTTCGACAGCCCGTATCCACGGAGTCCGGAACGAGGATTTCCGTAAAAGCCGTCTTGTTGCGCGGGCGCAAAGGGACTGCGCGATGGCTGATAGGCCATTGTTTTCTTTGATCTGGTCTCTTGTTCCGTGCGGGAATCTCTGCCGGTCTTGCGATTATCGATATCGGATGCGCCACATGAGAGTGACGGGGAGGTTGAGGTGCTATCGGGGTATTCGCCTTGATTTGGTGTTGATCAAGACTCTAATTCAAGGTTCATTCAAGCGTATTTCCTATGCTGTATTCAAATGCAACAGTTAGCCAGGTTTGATTGCAGGACGAGGAGCCACCTGGGCACCCTCGGACTAGGACACCGAAGCACTTACCCAAGTACAACCCTTCAGTATGGTGGTTGTGATGTATAGATCTGGATCGCAAAGACAATTTAGTCCCTCAGTTCTAAAAAGAAAAGGCAACATGCACCGATACAGTTGTGTTTGGTGGGTTGGTGGTCCGTAAAGAACTTGCGGAGATGCGGAGCGCGGAGTTTATCCCGCGTGTCCTGGGTAATTCTTGGGCAGATAAAAGCCAAGTATCGCAACAAGCATTCAATCTAATCCGAGACGAAATTTGCGCGAAAATCGAGAACGTGGCAAGGGCAAGTCCATGTGAAGCTGGGGAAGTGGAGAGGCAACACCAGGGGTCCGCAAATCAAATCTCATTGCACGCGTAACCAGTCTCATGTATAACGGTGTTTAGAATCACATACTACCTACTATATAAATGAATAAGGCATCGAGCTATCTATCAAACCATTCCCTGGAGCAGCTATATTCTTCGACTGTTAATTAAGCAAGTTATTCTTCTCATGGTCCCCTGGTCTACTTGAATCAACAATAAAGGAATAGGTCAAATGCATAGCATTAGCGCTTCAACAGAAAGATCTAAACCGTGCACCAGATGATGTGGACCAACAGCCCCGCAAGGTAAATACAATTACAGCTTCTGATACTCAAGCTTGCCCTCCAATTTCTTCGCCTCTGCCACCTTCCGTACAGCCTTGTTGAGGTCATCCTGGTTGATAGCGTCACGGTAATCCTTGATCGCGAACAAACCACTAATAAAAGAGTTAGTCAACGAGTTTATGACATATTATGAGATAGGAGTCGTCACTCACGCTTCAGTAACCACGTTTCGGAGATCAGCACCGTTAAGACCATCGCTCATCTTGACCACACTCTCAAAGTCGATGTCACCTTCCTGTTGGACCGTGCTTGTGTGAATCTTCAAGATCTCCAGACGACCAACCTCATTGGGAAGAGGAATCTCAATCTTGCGGTCCAGACGACCGGCACGCAACAGAGCAGGGTCCAGTGTGTCGGGTCGGTTGGTGGCCATGATGATCTTTGTCTTTCCTAGGTAGTCGAAACCGTCTAGCTGGTTCAGCAACTCCATGAGCGTCCGCTGAATTTCTCGATCTGCCGATGTACCCTCTGAGAAACGTCGTCCACCAATGGCATCGATCTCGTCCATGAAAATAATGCAGGGCTCGTGTTCCTTGGCGTATCCGAACATCTCTCGGATCAGTCGAGCGGATTCACCGATATATTTGTCCACGATGGCCGAGGATACAACTACCGAGAGAGTAGATTAGTTAGAATATTGCGGGTGTGAATGATGTAAGAAGTTGAACATACCCTTCAAGAAGTTTGTCTCTATCGAGCTGGCTACTGCTCGTGCAAGCAGTGTCTTACCAGTACCCGGAGGACCGTAGAGCAAAACACCCTTCGGAGGTTTAATTCCAACTCTAAGGAAGAGTTCTGGGTTCTTCAGGGGTAGTTCGATGACTTCACGAAGCTCTCTGATCTGGTCGTTAAGACCACCGATACCCGCGAAGTTGACGGACCCTGGATCTTCCAGAGACATGTTGTACACCATGGGATCAACCTCACGAGGAAGCATCCGCATGATGGTGAGTGTTGTCATATCCAAGGCCACACGTGTGCCTTGCTTCATCTTGGACTTATCCACCTTTGAACGACAACCGACCACATATCGAGGACCCGATGACGCCTTGACGATGACTGTGAAACGGATTAGCTTCTTGATGCGATCATTGAAGCAAAATTTTTGAGCCTCGGATACTTACATCGCTCTTCGTCGAGCTGCTTCAGTACCTCGCCGATGATCTGACCAACACTTTGTAGTGCCTTGATGTTATCCTCGGAGACATCGAATTCTCTTTGGAGATCCTTGATACCCAGGCGGAGAGTTTTCAACTTGGCTTCCCATTCTCGTAGCTCGAGCAAGCTCTTTTTATAGTCCTCGAGCGCCTGGCCGCGCTCCGGGTCGCTCATGATGAAGGACGGACGAACGATAGATTCACCGAGTGTGGACGAGTGGGAATAGTAGCCAAAGGGGAACTGTAATTCAAGTATGAATTCAGGGTTTCGTGTAAGGTCGTGGATGCGAAATGGATGGATATGGTGATTGAAAAGGGCGATAGCACCTTGCCTGGAGAGCTTCCAGCTTCCAGCGCGGCGTCCATGAGAGGCGATCACATGACCTTGGAGCTGTCTTATGTCATAATCTTGGTCATCACTAGACACCTGAGGCAGAACACTTGGAACAGTATCAGTTTGATTTGCTATCCTTGGATAACTAACTAGTTAGCTATAATAAGAGTTGATAATATGGTGGTGATGGCCTTGGAAAGCGGCTCATTCTTCAGCTTTAGTCTACATATGTTTGAGCTGTTCACCTTTAATTCATTTGGGGCGTGTCTTCTCCCTTTGGTCTCTATGTATTTCCTACATAAATATTCTAGTTCTATTCTTTCTCTAGCCACGGTTCTCTTTGATCGCCATTGAGATGCCTCTTCGTCCAAATACTTGGGCGTGTTTTGTAATTGAGATGCTATGTTGACAAAATGCCCAGGTAAATAGCCCGGAGAGGAAGATTATTGACCCGGAGCACGGTCCGACATAGCTTGGCCTCAGCAATAAGGCGCCAACTGCTGTCTTCGTCCAAATCAGAATGGGACCTTACAACCTTGGAAGGTTGGAATTAATGCTACGTAAGAGACTTTTATTTTCATTGGTCTGAATTGATGTACTAGGGTCACATTATCCCATACAAGGGGTTATCTACTTGCAAATTGTAGAGTAAAGCGCAATTGGAGGGGTAGAGGGGTATGCCGTACGGTATGGATGCACGTCCTTATAACATGGCATGTGCATTGGGAGATCCCATAACAGGACATATGTATCGGGAGAACGGTATTCATCTAATATCTTCCGAGGGACGGGAGATCTCGTAGCTACAGAGGCCGCATAAGGTCGGATCAGCCAGCAAGTGCTGGAGAACAGCCGTGGAGCCCCACTGTTGCATTGGAAAGATTCGGAGCAGCAATGAGCTTTCCCGGGGTTTCTCTGGGGGAAATTATTTAAGTAGTCGGGTGTCTCCGTAGAAGGCTTTTCTATTTTATCATAGTTGTTTCTTTAACTTTTAACAGGTGAGTTTCTGAATATGTTGTATAGTATCATATCATCCATATACCCCGCTATAACACCACCTTCTACCCCTCCAAACATACAACATACAACATACACTTCCCCCCCTCTACAGCGTGACTATACGTCTTTCTGGAAAGGAATAGAAACCCAACCAAAAGACCTACCGGTGATCGTAGTAGGAACTTGCCCCCCGTTTACCTCCCCAAGCAAATCATATCCTTCTTACCCCTTCCCGCTCAATCTTTTTGGGTCATCGGTGAACCTCCCCCGCCGTTAGTCACCTGCTGCTTTTGCCATATATCAGCCCAGATCCTCTTTTTCTCCTTCCTTTTCAACTGACTGAAAACTATAATCAGCCTGTCCAATTCCAACATGCCTATTTCTAAGATCCACGCTCGCTCCGTGTACGACTCGCGCGGCAACCCCACCGTTGAGGTGGACGTTGTCACCGAGACCGGTCTTCACCGCGCCATTGTCCCCTCCGGTGCTTCTACTGGTTTGTACCCCTTGACTTCTAGACATTGAAAAAAAAGAAGAAGACAGGACTGGATTGCTAACATTAGCTTCCTAGGCCAGCACGAGGCCGTTGAGCTCCGCGATGGTGACAAGACCAAGTGGGGTGGTAAGGGTAAGTGAAAAGCACCCGGTTGACACGTCAATGAGTAATCAGAAACTGATACCTTCCTCTCAATTCAGGTGTCCTCAATGCCGTCAAGAACGTCAACGAGGTCATTGGCCCCGCCCTCATCAAGGAGAACCTCGATGTTAAGGAGCAGGCCAAGGTCGACGAGTTCCTGAACAAGCTCGATGGTACCCCCAACAAGGGCAAGCTCGGTGCCAACGCCATCCTCGGTGTTTCTCTGGCCATTGCCAAGGCTGCCGCCGCTGAGAAGGGTGTTCCCCTCTACGCTCACATCTCCGACCTTGCCGGAACCAAGAAGCCCTTCGTCCTGCCCGTTCCCTTCCAGAACGTCCTGAACGGTGGCTCCCACGCCGGTGGCCGTCTCGCCTTCCAGGAGTTCATGATTGTGCCCGAGTAGGTCTTCCAGTCTCGAAACGCGTTGCAACTATAAATTGACCGAACATTAGCACTGCTCCCACTTTCTCCGAGGCCCTCCGCCAGGGTTCCGAGGTCTACCAGAAGCTCAAGACTCTTGCCAAGAAGAAGTACGGCCAGTCCGCCGGTAACGTCGGTGACGAGGGTGGTGTCGCTCCTGATATTCAGACCGCTGAGGAGGCTCTTGACCTCATCACCGATGCCATTGAGCAGGCTGGCTACACTGGCCAGATCAAGATTGCCATGGATGTTGCCTCCAGCGAGTTCTACAAGGAGGATGCCAAGAAGTACGATCTTGACTTCAAGAACCCCGAGAGCGACCCCACCAAGTGGCTCACCTACGAGCAGCTTGCCGACCTCTACAAGTCCCTCGCTGCCAAGTACCCCATTGTCTCCATCGAGGACCCCTTCGCTGAGGATGACTGGGAGGCCTGGAGCTACTTCTACAAGACCTCCGACTTCCAGATTGTCGGTGATGACTTGACTGTCACCAACCCTCTGCGCATCAAGAAGGCCATTGAGCTCAAGTCTTGCAACTCCCTTCTCCTGAAGGTCAACCAGATCGGTACCCTGACCGAGTCTATCCAGGCTGCCAAGGACTCCTACGCCGACGGCTGGGGTGTCATGGTCTCTCACCGTTCCGGTGAGACCGAGGATGTCACCATTGCTGACATCGCTGTTGGCCTCCGCGCCGGTCAGATCAAGACCGGTGCCCCTGCCCGTTCCGAGCGTCTTGCCAAGCTTAACCAGATCCTCCGTATTGAGGAGGAGCTTGGTGCCAACGCTGTCTACGCTGGCGACAAGTTCCGCACTGCTGTCAACCTGTAAATGCAGCCTTTTGGCAGCATAGATCGGGCCTGATGAGGGCCCATCAAAAACGATGGTTTGATGATCTACGGAACTATCGCCCATGATGATTATGAATTTAATAGGATCTTTTTCAATGAAAACAAATTTCCACCATTTCATAAATTAGAAAATAAGTAGTAAATGAAGAGTAACTATGCCATGAAGAAAGATCATGCTCATCGGGCATTCAATGCCCGAGATCACGTGCACACCCCACCTGGGGACGATAAGTGTTGTCCCACATAAAATTTGCCCTCGCCCCTCCATCCTTTGCTGGGTCCGATTGTGTTGGCTTGTTCCTTTTAGCCTTGCGTATAGCGCATTACGTTCTTTCACTTCTCTCATACCAACGAGGTCTTATATTGCTCAAAATGCCGCCTTCCAAGTGGGGTATGTTATTCTCCTTGTAATATCGCCTTCTATAGAGATTGCCACAATTACTTAGCTCGTGTTCCGATCCATATTGCTGTTGCTAATCCTTTGATTTCAACACAGACGAAGAAGAAGAGGAGAGCCCCGCGCCTCCTATTGTTGCTGCGCCCCGTCGCCGCTTCGACGATGAAGAGGAAGAAGATGTAAGGCAACACAACCTCGAACCTGCCCAGTCGGGCCCTCACTTTCGCGCCAAGTCCAACAAACTAACCACACCCGAGTGATAGGTTCTTGACTCATGGGATGCCGCCGAAGACTCCGAGGTAGAGCGCGAGAAGGCCAAGAAGGCCGCCGAAGCCGAGGCCAAGGCCAAGGCCGCCGCTGCCGCCAACAAGAAGACCAAAGCTCAGCGGATAGAGGAGCTCCGGGAGCAGCGCCGACGCGAGGAGGGCGACGGTGGTTCCGAGAGCGAGGACGAGGCAGACCGCCGCGCTCGTCTGCGCAAGACCGAGCAGGAAGCCGATCTTGCCCACGCCGAGGATCTTTTCGGCTCTGTTGATGTCAAGCCCAACAAGGGTGCCCCCAAGGCCATCGTTGTCAGCGACACAGCTGATCCCACGAAGTCCGTCGATCTGTCCGCCATGCCGCTGTTCAAGCCCGTCACCAAGGACCAGTTCACCCGCCTGTCCGAGACCCTTGTGCCGCTCCTCACCTCGCACTCCAAGAAGGCTCACTACTCTCTCTGGGCGCAGGACTTCGCCCGCAAGCTTGTGAAGGATTTGCCCAGTGCTGAGATCAAGAAGATTGCTAGTGCTCTCACTACTGCTTCCAATGAGAAGATGCGCGAGGAGCGTGCTGCTGACAAGGGCAATAAGAAGTCTAAGGCGGCGAAGACCAAGATCTCGCTGAATGCTAGCCGCGACCCCCATGCCGATAACACCAACTACCAGGGTGATGATGATCTTGGGGATGATGACTTTATGTGAATGTGAATACGGACGACTAGTCACCATTTGAATTGTTTTTGCTTTCCCCTGGATTTGATCCTTGAAAATACGCATCTTAAAGGAAGATCCTAGATCTTCTTTTAACCCTGCCTCACCTATATGCAGGTTATCTCTACTGGGTCCAATGTTACCCCTTCTATTTTTTTCCCCTGCTTTTAATGCTCGCTCTGTACATCCACTTCTATCTGAAACGCTTGGGCACAAGTAACTTATAGAAAGACCCAATCCATTCCGATTATTATATTACCTTATATATGAACCATAACATCCATGGTTAACAGTCACTCATTACAATTAAAAGTTAACCAACAATCGCCTTACTTGTAACCGCCGACCTGGTCCCCCGACTTTTATTCAACATCCTCCTATCACCACACCAAGATTATATATGCATTACATGCATGCCCACCTGCTTGGCTGTCATATTCTAGCAAGTGTCCTGACCCCTCCCGTGGCCTTCAACAAACTCGGTTTCGATTGGTTGCTCTTCGTTAGTGGGAAGACGTGTGTTTTGGTTTAAGTTCGCTTCGACGATGGGAGATAGCGGATTGACCGGACGAGGCATTGTGAGAGCCTCATTGTCCCCGGTACTATTTCTGTCTGGCTTTTGGGCCCGACGAATCGCGAATCGTTTGAGGGATGTTGGTCCCTGATGATGTTGGTTATGTATGCATCTTCGGCACTTGATGGGGTGGCGTTCTTCTGTGTCGTTTCTTTTGGGGTTGGAATAGTCAGACGTGATGGTGTCTTTGCTTTGGGGGTTGATCGCGTGCTGGTCTTGTACTAGGGATGAGGCTTAGATGTTTTGAGTTAACGGTAGTAGCTTTAGTAGGCAATGGCACTACCGAGGGAAGACAGTTGGAATTTATAAACCTTGAAGCGTTAAGATGTATATGTTGGTTTGCAGATCTCTCGAGGCTTTTGGGACTAATAAACAGGCGAGTTCGTGCAAAGGACTAGTAACTACTCTTGTATCGGCTCATACTTCATTCATGAATACTGGTAAAAGGGGAATCATTGGCTACGCAAGCATCCCAACACAGGGTGCATATCAAGTGAAGAAGCTCGGAGTCGAATGGAAAATAAACACATTGAAACGTGCTGGAGTGGGAATAGAGACAATAAAAGAGAGAGAAATTTCCACTCAGCCCCTTTTCTGCTCGCGTCAACCGAATATCAAACTCCGCCGGCCGACCCACACGGTCCCGAAGACGTGCAAGATATCTGCCGGTCCAACCCAGCGCTGCAGTGAAAACAAAGAAGCGACTTGCATAACCACGTCCAGGAATAAATGCGAACGCCCACCCTACCAAACGGCATACGGCTCGTCGCGACCCCTAATGTTCCTTTAGGCTTCAGTCTCGGCGGGCTTAGCCTCCTCAGGCTTCTCCTCGGCGGGAGCGGCGGCCTCGGTGGAAGCGGCAGCAGGGGCAGCGGGCTCCTCCTCGGACTTCTCCTCCTTGGCGGCACTCTCGCCCTCGGTGCCCTCAGATGAGGTCCAGAGGGTAAGGTTGTCGCGCAGCAGCTGCATGATCAAAGTGCTGTCACGGTAGCTTTCCTCGGAGAGAGAGTCGAGCTCTGCAATGGCATCGTCGAATGCCTGCTTGGCAAGGTGGCAAGCACGGTCAGGGGAGTTGAGGATCTCGTAGTAGAAAACGGAGAAGTTCAGGGCAAGACCCAGGCGGATGGGGTGAGTGGGGGTAAGCTCGGTCTGGGCAACGTCGGTGGCGTTCTGTGACACGATCAATAGCTGTTCATTGGAAAAGAGAAGGTCGATGACAATAAGCTGAAATGAGGATAATATACCTTGTAGGCCTCGTGGGCAGCGGTGGCGGCACCCTTGCGCTTGGGGCCGGAAGCGAACTCGGCGAGGTAGCGGTGGTAATCGCCCTTCCTGCTTGAAGTCAGCACCATGTCACAAATCAAAAGGCCTCCAAACTAAAGTTGATTGGGGTGTAACCCACATCTTGTAGTAAAAGACCTTGGACTCTCCAGTCTCGGCCTTGGGGATGAGAGCCTCATCAAGAACATCAAGCACATCCTGGCACACCTGCTCCAGCTCGGTTTCGATCTTCTGGCGGTAATCGCGGATGATGCCGACGTGCTCATCGGAGCCCTTGTTCTCCTCCTTCTGCTCGATGGAAGAAATGATGCGCCAGGAGGCACGGCGGGTGCCAACCACGTTCTTGTAGGCGACGGAAAGCAGGTTACGCTCATCGACGGTGAGCTCACCACCAATCTAGATAAGTGTCAATCGCGAATGTCCTGAAATTAATACCGAAGATGATGGGCAGGTGATGGTGTCATACGTTGGCGACTTCCTGTTCGGCGGTTAGCATGGATTCCCAGTAAATAAGATGAGGGGGTGCGACTAACCTTCATGAAGGTGACCATTTCTGAAAAGCAAGGAGCGACACGTCAGTATACACATCCAACCAAACGATCGCATGTCAACTTACCATCGTAGCGCTCGGCCTGCTCGCAGAGCCGCGCGAGGAACGTCTTGCTGGTGAGGGGTCAGTCATGTCGGGTCATGGGGTTTCAGAAACAGGGGCGACAATAGACATACTTCTCACGCTGCATAGTAACAATATTTGTTAGCCCAGTTCTTATCGACAAAAATTCCAGATGAGGGTGAGCTCAGACGAGGATGGGAATGTGGGATTGCGATGGCGGTGACAACTCAAGAGAGCGCCCGATAAAAGGGGACAACAACGTACCTCAGAACCCATTGTGAAATTGAATCGAGATGGGGGGTTAGAACTTGAGACTTAAAATAAAGAGATAGGAAGCGCGAGATGCAGAAGAGGAAGATGGATTAGAGGCGACCAAGTGGGGGGGAGAGAGATGGAGTGAGGTGAGTTGGGGGGATTAGAATCATAACAATAATACGTTGTTCTCTTGTACCCAGTACCTAGTTCCCCCTATTGTGGCACCGCTCTGTGGAAGTACTCCGGTACTTGGGCCGCGGCCCCGTATTCATTTTACCGTCGATCCCCTTAATAACTGATTGATTTGGGCGGGGTGGGGTATATATTACTGTATTTATTACCAAGTACTTGCTAATATTAGACTTAATCTTAGACGGTATTCACTCTCCTTTTTAGGAGACATGGACACGTGGATCAAATAACTACGATATATGATATTGGGCTTGATTCTATGGCTGATTTGTACCTAGACTTCCCTTCTATATGTCTATAGGGGTCATAATACCTTGTCCTAGGGACTGCGACCAGTACTGTTACCTCTGTTACCTCCCGATGATCAGAAAAAATACCTACCTGATTAGCTCTGGAGGTACCCTCTTGATTGTCTCTTGGAATATAAAGGGCCCGAAATCATAGCGATACAACAAACTTGGAAGTATGGGGATGATAATGATGCAAGTGCCTTTGGAACCTTCCAGACAACAAGGCGGTTATGATGTACATAGCTAATCAGCCACTCAAATTAAGTCGCGAAGTATCACAAGTCTCTATTTTATGCTGTTACTCAAATAATCCCACGGTTTGGAGTACAGGAGGGCTAAACTTATTCAAGTAAAAGAAAATGCTAACATTGCTTTTCTTTGCTATAACAACCATAGATAACATAGTGCTCCCATCCAAGGGTCTTCAAGGAGCAAGTGGGAACTTGCGGTCAAACTATGTTACCCCAAAGCTGGAACATAAATTGACCAAGTGTGGGGGATATACTTGGAGTGTTGCCTTATATGTCTCAACGACAACCCTTGCCCAATCCAGTAGTGTAGAATATGTATGTGTATGGGAAATGTAAAGCAAAGAAACCTCACAGTCCACATATATAGTGTATGATGGGCAAGTCGACCCCGTACTCCATTCTTTGGATAGTATCAGCATCCACGTACATCACTTTTATAAAGATGTTCAATATCACTTGTAGTACTTCAATATCTCACCCCCCCCACGATCATAGTCACATACATCGAAATAAAAAGCTGCCCCTCACAATTTTGGTTAGCGATTTACTTCACCCTACATGCAATGCTTCTCTGGCCGATCATCGCTTTTCTCAGCAGCTTAAGCGTCTACCACCAAGCCCGAGAGATCCTTACCACTGAGTGTCCTTTCCGAATTCAAGGGCTGGGTATACAGGCAGTTGTATTCACTTTCGTGTTAGTGGTATGGATATGGTGTCTTACGTTTCCGTATGAGCATTTAAAGGGACATGTGAGTTCGAATATCTTTACTATCTGGTATGGGACTATCGGCTGGGTCACCGTTGATAGCTTTACCTTCGCTATCGACCAAGTAATGCTTGTGCTAGCCTTATGTCGCGCGTCTTTAGATGAGCTCATGATACAGCGAAGAGGGGAAACGGAGCCACTCTTAAGATAGATAAATCGATATGGGATAACAATTATTCACTACATTTTCTCAATATAAGGAGCTCTTTGGTTTGAAATGTTTCCTAGTAGGAAAGACCATTATTCAGTCAATATAAACTCAAGCCAGTTACTACCTGGCACCACAATTACAGGTCTTTTTTTTCACTATCTCTTGGATCATGAACTCTAAGCTCCCCATCCATCACCACAGTATCTTCATGGTCATAGAGATTACCCCAATCCCACCAATCAAGTTGGGCTCCATTAAACCCATACCGAAATCGATCACCAGGCTCCAAATTCTTCGGAAAATCACTCACCTCTCGTGTGAATGAGCAAGACTCGCCAGGTACCAAGGACTGGAACTTATCTTCGTTCTTGCCGATATTGACCGGAGAGGGACTAGAACAAAAGGCATGGTGTTGGATTTCGCCATTCACTTCATGCCCAATCCATTCATCGTTTTTCTTCACATAGAGCCGGGATCCCTTATAGTGAAGGTCCATAGCTTTGAACCTAGATATATGAAATGTGATCGGTCTTCCGGTATGCCTTAAGCTGGGAGCTGCGTCATATGAGATTGTGACTTCAACGGGATAGTGCAATCTTGCTGCCAAGGAGCGATCCTTCACCGATAGCGTTGTAGGACCAGCGATGTTAATACTTAGTACTGGAGCGTCAGACATCCGAGTGGATGGCGAAAGTGGTGGGGGCGACGACTCAGGCCAAACCCCCACATCGTCTTCTAGATCGCTTTCATCGTCAATAATCTCGAGTGACTGATGTGGCCCACCAGGAAGCACTATCGTCGGGGTCTTCAGAGCGAGTTGGCGATGAGATTTACTACACTCCGCCAATGTTCCCCAGTCCCATAAGGGAATTTGTCCACCTCCCCATATAATCCCATAGGATTTAAGTGAATCGAGTGCACAGAAATAGACAGATGGCAAATGCGTAGACCAGGAGACGCTGGCGCCTGGGTCAAGCTGTTTAAAGCAAAGGTCTTCTATGGACACTTCGCGGGGGTGAAGTGGTTTTGCGGGCAACTGGTGCGTGTCGACCTCGAGTGGTTGCCAGCCGTCTGATTGACTCCAAAGTAGTATTATACCCGGCTGGATAAGTCTATCTGTGCTAAATCCATCTGTGATAGGATCCCAGTGAATGATACATGGTCGCGTTTCTGGGTCATCTTCCGCACATGTGATCGTAAATATGATACGGTAAGACGTGTCGTAGACGTGGAGTTGTGGTTTTGCTTCAAAGGAAAGAGCAAGGCGAGGTGTATCTTGTCTGCTTGGATTAGCATTTATGCTGTTGGGTTTCTTGTGGGATCCATACGGCCTGTCCGCAGTCGAGTATCTCGCGTAAGACGAGAGCTGCCCCTCCAATTGTGTAAGAGATATCTAGACGAGGTAGAACAGAAAGAGCCGACGGATGTTGTTCAGAGTGATGAGCAGTGGAATGTGCAAGAAATGACATAGATCATATGCTAAATAGAGAAACAGAAGGAAAAGGAAGTGGAAGCAGTGAGAGCTCGAGCAACCAGTAACATTAACAGCCCTAAGCTACTGATAATTACTAATACACTAGTGTACTACCTAGGTAGGTAGACTACTAGTTACAAAAAAGAAGATTCCTTGAAGTCCCAAAAGAAAAGAGACCTAAACTACACACGGGGGTAGCTGACCATCTGACCTAAGAGAGATATTCAACACCACCCACGATCATAGTCGCATGTAGAAGAGCACTTCCTAAAAAAAAAACCAAGAGCTGGCTACACTTAGGTCCACATGTTGATCATTTCAACTTCGAACCTGCCCAAGGGTAGAATTATCTGATTAATCATATCATCCAGTTGATCGGTGAGCGCACAGCAAACTTTAAGAGACTTGATTTTATTTCCCCCTAATATGGCTGCCAAAATGAAATGAGCATTTGGCTAACCTGAAGGACAAGGTAACTTAGGTAAGGATCTCAAGTGACAAGTAGTTATCAATTAATTGGATAGTAGTTAGGTATTCTTAAAAGGTGTATCACCGAGAGCAGAATAGATGATAAATAAGTGATGCAACGCTTGTCAGCCCTATCGGCAAGGACATGTTAGCGTGCTTATGGAGATGCCCACATTTCACGCATTAACAGGGACTGTGCTTTAGCCTTGAAGATCTCGGGTCTGCAATTCCCAATCACAAGTGGACCAAGTAGGATCGATCAAATAATATCTTGGCTTGGGGACAACCGAACACACGTCAAGAGCTGTAGTCATAGCACAAAGCCTCCAAGGCTATAGTTATAAGAGACTAGTGAGGAGTCAATCAGGTCGATTTAGAAGATTTGATACCCATTTTGGGCTACGGTGTCTGCAGAGGACCATGTTGCCAAGCCGGATAGATAGGCAAAGAAACGATGCAGCCTAGAGATGCCCCATAAATCAACCAAATTTGGGAATTGGCATGACGTTGGAGCCCTACAAGAGGCTCTCTAATTCACTCCGAGGAGAAAAAAGAATGATATAGTTACCTAGGTAGTTAGTAAGAGACTGACTACTTGGAAGTATTCAGTACATATTCCATACTTAAAGTGTCTTTATAATGAATAATAAACGATACCAAAAGAAGAGAAAAAAGAGAAAAAAGAGAAAAAAAGAAAATATAGCGGAGAATTGGCAGAGACCCGCCTTCAGCCCTGTAGACTCCCCCCGGAGAGGCTTCCAACTCCACCTGAGCACCTGGGCAGGCCAGGGCCCGTGCTTACTCAGCCCCTGGAATCAAATGGATGAGAACACGTTGACTTCCCCCACTGGAGGTTCCCCATTCGGTCTTCGATCTTCATTATTTCTTGCTTCTCTGGTTCTTTTTCTTTTTTATATCACCTGGCCCTTCGCTCTGGGCTTTTCTTCTTTTTCCGACTCTTTGTTACATCGGGCATGTAACTATCTTGACAACTGTCACCCATTTCTTTTTTTTTATTTGTTTATCCCCAACTATTATTCATCACCTCTACGGCTATCGCAATTGATCCTGCCTATTGCCGTTGAGGGTATCACGATCATGGAGAACGCCTTTCTCCGTACTCCAGCCGAGTCGCTGGAGCACTTCAAGGTGTCGGAGCAGACCGGTCTGTCGCAGAACGCGGTCGTGAGGTCCAGACAACAGTATGGACCAAACGGTTAGTACACACCCCGCTGCAGAATGATGATATCCGTCAAAACTGACATCTGCTGTTTACTTAGCTCTTCCGGAAGAACCCCCGACTCCCATGTGGGAGCTGATTTTGGAACAATTCAAGGACCAATTGGTTCTTATCCTTCTTGGCTCGGCCGCCGTGTCATTTGTGCTAGCTCTCTTTGAAGAGAGTGACGATTGGACTGCATTTGTGGATCCCGCTGTTGTAAGTACCTGGATTATTGTACATTCCATCTGCATATATACCTGTTCTATTTTGCTGACCAAGACTTTGTTGTTCACAGATCCTTACTATCCTCATCCTCAATGCTGTGGTTGGAGTGACCCAAGAAAGTAGCGCAGAAAAGGCGATTTCAGCTCTCCAGGAATATTCGGCCAACGAGGCCAAGGTTATCCGCGATGGAATGACGCGAAAGATTAAGGCCGAAGATTTGGTTCCCGGAGACGTGATCCAAGTTGCTGTCGGTGACCGTATCCCCGCCGACTGCCGACTGCTCGCCATTCAGAGCAACAGCTTCCGCGTCGACCAGGCTATTCTGACTGGCGAGAGTGAAAGTGTTGCAAAGGAGACCCGTGCTATCAAGGATGAGCAGGCCGTCAAGCAGGACCAGCTCAACATGCTTTTCTCCGGTACCACCGTTGTCAACGGTCACGCTACGGCTCTGGTCGTGTTGACCGGTGGCTCAACTGCCATTGGAGATATCCACGAGAGCATCACTTCCCAGATATCTGCGCCGACCCCCTTGAAGAAGAAGCTGAATGACTTCGGTGACATGCTCGCCAAGGTTATTACCATCATCTGTGTCCTGGTTTGGGTCATTAACTACGAGAACTTCAACGACCCCGCCTTCGGTGGCTGGACCAAGGGTGCTATCTACTATCTTAAGATCGCTGTCTCTCTTGGTGTGGCCGCTATTCCGGAGGGTCTGGCAGTGGTCATTACCACCTGTCTGGCTCTGGGTACCCGCAAAATGGCTCAAAAGAACGCAGTTGTCCGCTCTCTTCCCTCCGTCGAAACCCTGGGCAGCTGCAGCGTGATTTGCTCTGACAAGACCGGAACCTTGACCACTAACCAGATGAGCGTCGAGAAGATCGTTTATCTGACCAGCTCTGGCACTGGTCTTGAGGAAATCGACGTCGAAGGCACTACTTTTACTCCCGAGGGCAAGCTCACCCAGAACGGCAAGGTTGTCGAGAATGTGGCTGTTTCTTCATCGACCGTCGCACAATTGGCCGAGGTCAGTGCTCTTTGCAACGCCGCTACTCTTTCCCACGATGCCAAGAGCGGAGTCTTCTCCAGCATCGGTGAGCCCACCGAGGGAGCCCTGCGTACTCTGGTTGAGAAAATTGGATCTACCGATGTCGCCCTGAACCAGAAGCTTTATCGCCTCCCTGCGTCCGAAAGATTGCATGCTGCCAGCGCTCACTACGAGTCCCGTCTCCCCCTCAAGGCCACCTATGAGTTCTCCCGTGACCGCAAGAGTATGTCTGTCCTCGTTGGCGAGGGCAAGGAACAAAAGCTGCTGGTTAAGGGTGCCCCTGAAAGCATTCTGGACCGCTGCTCGCACGTTATTCAAGGCGCCAATGGATCTCGCGTTCCTGTGACCCAGAACCACTTGAAGCTTCTCTCCGAGGAAGTTGTTGAGTACGGTAACCGTGGTCTCCGTGTCATGGCCATCGCAAGCGTTGACGGCATCTCTGGCAACCCCCTCTTGAAGAATGCCACCACCACCGAGGACTACACCAAGCTCGAACAGAACATGACTCTCATTGGTCTTGTTGGAATGTTGGACCCCCTCGGCCTGAGGTTGCCGCTTCTATCAATAAGTGCCACGCCGCCGGAATCCGGGTCATTGTCATCACCGGTGACAACCGCAATACCGCCGAGTCTATCTGTCGCTCAATTGGTGTGTTCGGAACTGACGAAGATCTCACTGGCAAGAGCTACACGGGCCGTGAATTCGACAGTCTCAGTGAAAGTGAACAGGTGAAGGCCGTCCAGACCGCTTCGCTTTTCTCGCGCACTGAGCCTACCCACAAATCCAAGCTTGTTGATCTCCTCCAGTCTTTGAACCACGTCGTCGCTATGACCGGTGATGGTGTCAATGACGCTCCCGCTCTCAAGAAGGCTGACATTGGTGTGGCCATGGGTACTGGAACCGACGTGGCCAAGATGGCCTCTGATATGGTCTTGGCTGATGACAACTTCGCTACCATCACCGTCGCCGTCGAGGAAGGTCGTTCCATCTACAGCAACACTCAACAGTTCATCCGTTACCTGATCTCTTCCAACATTGGAGAGGTTGTCTCTATCTTCCTGACTGCTGCCCTTGGCATGCCCGAGGCTCTGATTCCCGTTCAGTTGTTGTGGGTTAACCTTGTCACCGACGGTCTGCCTGCCACTGCTCTGTCATTCAACCCCCGGACCACGATGTGATGAACCGTCCTCCCCGCCGTCGCGACGAGGCCCTGGTCGGCGGCTGGTTGTTTTTCCGCTACATGGTTATCGGTATCTACGTTGGTGTTGCTACTGTCTTTGGTTATGTTTGGTGGTTTGTCTACAACCCCGATGGGCCCGGCATCTCTTTCTGGCAATTGGTAAGTTTATAATGTTTCCAGGTATTAATTACGTGTTGCTAACAAGCCCGATTTAGTCCCACTACCACAAGTGTGCCTCTCAGTTCCCCGAGATTGGATGCGAGATGTTCAGCAACGACATGGGCAAGTCTGCCTCCACCGTGTCTCTTTCCATCCTCGTGGTGATTGAGATGCTCAATGCCATGAACGCGCTTTCCTCTAGCGAGTCCCTCCTGACGTTCTTCCTGGGCAACAACCCGATGCTTATCTACGCCATCGCTCTGTCCATGCTCCTTCACTTTGCCATCCTCTACATTCCTTTCCTCCAGAATCTGTTCTCGATTCTGCCTATGGACTGGAATGAATGGCAGGCAGTGTTGGTGATCAGTGCACCTGTGATGTAAGTGCTTATTTCTGCTTAATCTTTGAAAGAATATCCTACTAATTCACCCTCTCAGCTTGATCGATGAGGTGCTCAAGTTCGCCGAGCGTCGTCTCTACAACACGAAGGCCGTCAATCCGGTCGCTCAGAACGGCGCCGCTGGTAAACCCAAGCGGGCATAAAAGATGGGACTATATTGACGAAAGCCGAAATAGGACCCTACCTTTCCGGATATCTGCCCGCGCAAGAGGTAATCCACGTGTAATAGAGATAGATTGTGGCTGATTGGTTGGATATTTGTCATGCGTTGAAGACGACCTCGGAGTACGTGGATTACTTATGACATGCCATCATGGATGCCCATAGATCACCCCGAATGAAAGATTACTACCTGCGATTGTTGCACATGTGGACAGTAGGACAATATATATCTGTGTCTTTGTAGAAGAACCATCTTTATTTGATGATGGATGATAGTTCCTAGGATGTCATTATAGGCTACTATTTAGAGTCATACGGTAAGACCAAACCAAGCTATCTCGGAGTAACATTCCACCAGACACAAGAATAACCCGCAAGACCCCCGGAGTGACATCCGACATATCCCCAAAGATGAATAGCGTCAAAAAAACATGCAACCCTGTAACCTTGACCGCCACCTTGCCAGGGTCTAAAGCGGGGAGTACTCTGATCCGACAACAATAAAATCAAAGTTACCTTCGATCCTCGGTGCAACTCCGTGTTGTGACTTTTGTGATTGGATGTTGCTTGTCTTTCCTCAGGGATCGGCTTGGGGCTTTCCCCGGACTGGGGAGGAGGAAGTGTGGAGTTAATGCGGAGGAATCAGACTGTCACCTTGTTGTTCTTTTTAAATACCCCCCTTTAGTCCCTTTAGTCCCTCTAGTCCTTTAGTCCCTTCGGTTCTTTTTGAGCTTCTTGTTCTTGTCTATCCGCTTTTTTATATTTAAAAATGGGTGTCAAGGAATTCCTCAAAAGCCGTTCTGGCTTGCGTGTTGATAATCGCACGACTACTTCAGCCGCTACTTTGACTCTGCGACAGAGTCTATGGCCTTTGACTCTAGTCACGATCTTGTTCTTCTTATGGGTATGTTACTGCATGCATTTCTTTTGGTTTATATAGAACCCTCCTACTAAACCTTCAACTAGGGTTTTGCATATGGTTTACTGGACACTCTCAACTCCCATTTCCAGAAAACCCTACATATAGACCGAGGCCGCTCAGCTGGTCTTCAAGCAGCCTACTTTGGGTATGACATCTCTCCATAACACAACATCTTACACGAGACCCTCCTCCCTCTAACAAAACCCAGCGCATACCCCCCTAGCCTCCCTCGGCTATGCAAACTGGATCCTGCGCAATTACGGCTACAAAACCGTCTTCATGTTCGGTCTGTGCTTATACGGAATTGGGGCCCTGTGTATGTGGCCCGCAGGACTAAACCAATCCTTCGGCGGCTTCTGCGGTGCCACATTCGTCATTGGATCAGGACTGGGGTCTCTCGAGACAGCAGCTAATCCCTACCTAACCGGTAAGACAAACCCACACATTCCAATTCCACATAGAAGTCTTGCGTAGATATTGATTCTCTCCTTGCATTGTCTAGTCTGCGGTCCACCCCGCTACTCTGAAATCAGAATCAACTTCGCCCAGGCCTTCAATGCCATCGGCACAGTCGTCGGCCCAGTACTAGGCTCGTATGTCTTCTTCACAGAGACAGAGGACGACGTAGCAGCCCTGCAGCGCGTGCAGTGGGTCTACCTCGCCATCGGAGTCTTCGTATTCTTGCTCGCTGGTGTCTTCTTCCTATCCAATATCCCCGAAGTCACAGACGAGGATATGGCTTTCCAGGTTGCGCAGACGCATGTCGATGAGCAGGATAAGCCGTTCTGGAAACAGTATAAGTTGTTCCATGCGACTCTGGCGCAGTTCACCTATACAGGCGCGCAGGGTATGTTTCCTTATACCCACACCCCCGGCTTCATCTTAAACGTCCCCTGTTAACTATCTCTTTCTCCAGTCGCTATCGCGGGTTACTTTATTAACTACGTCAAGGATACATGGCCGGGTACACCGAATGCCACAGCAGCGAAGTATCTTGCCGGTGCACAGGGGGCGTTCGCTGTTGGCCGGTTCCTCGGATCGGGGATTATGAAGTTCGTACGGGCACGCTGGGTCTTCCTGGTGTATCTGTCGTGCACGGTAGCTTTCCTTGCTGCGTCGGTGACACAGACGAAGCAGGTTGGTGTTGCTATGCTATTCATGACGCTATTGTTTGAGTCTGTTTGTTTCCCGACGATCATGGCTCTGGGAATCCGTGGCCTTGGACGGCATTATAAGCGTGGCTCTGGGTTTATTGTGGGTGGTGTTTGTGGAGGTGCTGTTGTGCCGCCTATTCTGGGTCATGTTGCTGATATGCGTGATAATACGGGATTTGCTTTTATTATTCCGACTATGGTATGTTTTTTTCACTCTTGGATTATTTGTTCCTTTTTTCCCTTTTTTTTTCCGGTTGTTTTTTTTCGTTGTTGGGTCGGTGGCTAATACTCGTTGTAGTTCATGGTCGTCGCTTGGACTTACGCTATTGCGGTGAACTTTGTTCCGTCGTATACTAACACCGTGGATAAGATCGGTGAGAGTGATGTTGGCATTGATAGCCAGAGTACGAAAGATGAGGAGGCTGTTATGGGTTCTCATGCTATTGATGAGACTGTGGGTGAGAAGCATCAAGTCGTGCATGTGGAGCGGTAGGTTGTTATTTGCTCTGCTTTTAGTATCTCTTATGGAGTAATGGTTAATGGTTAATGGTTAACGGGTGTTGGGATTTTTGTTTTGATTTACTTTGCTCTGGATTATTCTTTTTAGAGAGCAGTGGGTTACGACCAAACGATATAACGATGATTGCCAGCAATGAACGAATTAAATTCAAACTACTAGATGGTAGGGACAGACAAACTAGATACAAGAAATACGTTACACAGAAAGGTGGAAGACCAATGATGAATTCGTGCTATCCTAGGAACTATCTAATAGTGATGGAAATAGGGCCATTTTGACCGTTGTCCCAGTCTCTAGCTCGTCGGTGCCATTGGCTTTTGATATCACCAGAACGTGTAACGAGTCATCTCAAACCAATGGCGAAATCAGAGAAGGAGCAGAGAATATAAAGGACATATCGACCACGACCGAGCACTACGTTGAATGTCTGGAAGTCATATCAAAGATCGCAACGTCGTACTGATTTCCTTACAAAATCCCGAGTTTCGGCACTTGGATTCGATGCCACTCCACCCCATCGATGGATGGTTGTCTGTGTGACAATCGGCCCTATTCGATGTATGACCGTTATCGAGCATCGTATGATGACAGGGGCGATAGATAGCGTTGGCGAGGACACTCGTCAATCTATGGTGTGGCTAACTCGTCATTGTGCAACATGGAAAGCTGAACTCTCAACTCGTCAGAGCCCTGCGTGCGTGTATTCGGCAAAATCAAAAGCTTGGAGTTCTCTCAGTAAAGCCTAGTAACCTTGATTATATATATATGTATAGAGAAGGTGAATTGGAAAAAAGACAAACCATGGATGGGGCTGAGTTGTTGAGAGGGAGAGAGAGAGGGACAGGCAGAAGAAGAGATCCAATCTGCCTTAGGCAGAAAGGTTGTCTCAACAATATATAGTCTACATATGCATTAGGTAGTATGATACTGCCACAAGTCTTTGATTCCGCCGGCGAGTTCGAAATAATAGAAGTTAGACGAACGGTGGGAATGGCAATGACAATGGCAAGGGCAAGGTTGTAGTATAGTTTGGAGTTAGGAATATCAAAATTAGTATTGGTCTATGCAATTTCATTATTCAATATTGTGTTGTTGATCAATCCAGCAAGATAATATGGGACAGCTTTCTATATGAGACAGGGAGATAAAAGACATTAAACTTAAGGGAGGGTCGAATCATCATGACGGTTCAAAGAAATATAGGGAAAAGAGAGCGCTTCGAGAAGCTAGGAAAATCTCAAGGAAAAGAGGGCAAGAGAGGGAGAGAGGCATAGGTCCAATGATGGATCCAATTATGCCAAAAAGAAAAAGAGACAAACCAAGGAAACGAAAACGAGAACACGCTGTGTAAGTGGGGGTTATAAAAAAAGCTCTATCGTCTAACCAAACATAGGAATAAGGGATCGTGGGATGGACAAATAGACGAATCTAATGTATATATGGGAAATTGCAAGGAAGATGTCGGGTTAATATCGGTATTATTCGGCGATGCCAATCTTGTCTGCGGGATCGGACGGCGAGCGCAAAGAGGAAGAGCGAGGAGGCCGAAGGGGACTGGTGTCAACGTTTGGAATAGGAGCGAATGGCATTTTGCCGCTTGAGGGAGATCCGGTCTCGTCTGCTGGGTGCTCATCGGGGGTAACGAAATCACCGGGTGTACCAGGTTCGTCGAACTGATCGACTTCTTCGATTTCTTCCTCAATCCCTTCGACATCTTCCTCTTCCTCGATAATTTGGCTCTTGCGGGCAACAGGCCGCCCTGTGACAATGTCGGGACTGGTGTTCACTGGCTGACCGGGAACGGGGGAGTTGGCTACCCCACTAGACACCATCAAGTTAGTGGTGTGGATCATAGGACCCTTGAAGAGAGATCTCTTTCGCCTTGCAAACACCAGGCTTGAAGAGGGCGAGTAGAGTAATGGCGTCGGTACCGCCTCATTAAACGACGACGACATCTGACCTGGCTCGGCAACCTCTCGAGGTGCTCCGCCTGGCCCTCTTACCAGACGAATATTGCTAGGAAAGCGGGATGAGGCACCTGGGGTGGTTGGCAGGACCTTGACAGATGAATGAGGCGATTTTGAGGCTCTGGCAGTGGGCGTCGAGATGGTATCTATACTGTTGGAGGAAATCGAAGAGGCCTTGGAGTGAGCCCGAGCGTGATGGATGCTGCGGATTGATGATACCGAGGAGGATGTGGATTTGCGTCCACGTAGTCCGGCCGATGAACGCCGATAGGATCCGCGTGGTGTAACAGGTGAGGGCGAGAGAGAGTTTCGATGACTACTATGACTGGTGTTCAATGGCCGCGTCTGGCGAGGGTAAGAGTGGCGGTTTTGGCTGTATGAGGCACTGCTAGGAGCGAGGCTGCTCGTATTGGAGATT